TTTCTTTACTTCTCTACTACTCTGTGACTTAGCAGACGGAGCTATTCATAAGGCACAAAGATGACCTTGCCACCTGCCCTGGTCTTGACGGTGCCCTTTGGAATGAGGTCAAACTCCTTCACAGGATTAACACACCTTCATTTGCTGACCCTACTGCCACTATTATAGAATCTATACCAAACCAGATGGAAAAGGCTCTGCACCAAGGAGTTTGGAAGGCAACTTTTAGTTACACTGGCAGACTGGTGGGAACGAGGTCCAAATCAAGAGCAACTTATATACATTTTGTAAGCAGGAAGTACAGAGTCAAAAACAGGTTAGTCTATAATTGGTTACATGTATTTGGTCACACCTTGTCAGGCAGATGTGTCTGGGGCAGGTTTAATTAGGGGGCGCCACTTATCATGAGGCAGGAAGGCCTGGGGAAAGTCAGGGTCCCAGCAAGCGGGTAGTATTTAGTGTGACCTTGACAGGGCTAGCCTGCCCCAGGGAGATAGTTCTTGAAACAGGATATGTGCACAGGCCATTGCGCAGCTGGTCAGGCAGAGCTGAGTCAAATTATGTCTGAGTTGCATCTGGGTAGTTTAGTCAAGGCCAGCTGAGTCTGATGGTCCAATTATGAAACCATAGTTTTAAAATTCTTCCACTACACGACCACTAGTTACTTCTTTCAATTCTTTTTTTCTTTGCCTATGTGCATTCTCATTTTTCTACATCTTCAGGATGTCCGTGTCTTGGCATGTGTACTTGTGTGGTTCCCGCCCCTGGGATGTGGCCTGGACCTCAGTGACTTGTTTCTAAGGATGGAATGTGTCTGAAGTGATAAGATCTAGCAGAAAGACTGATTTCTATCTTGCTCATCTTCTCTTGCTCATTCTAAGAGAAGCCAGCTGCTATGTCACACACTGCCCTCGTGGGATGCAAGACCTGATCACCCCAGCAAGGGCTCACAAGGAGCCCAATCCTGCCAACAGCTGTGTGGGGGAGTGCCGAGGGGAACCGGCTCCTGGTCCAGTCTTTGGAGGAGATGGCAGCCCTGGCCAATGTCTCTGCTGTAACCTTGTGAGAAAACCAGCTCGGCCCAGGCTCCTGACCCACAGAAACCGTGAGATAATAAATATTTGTTGTCCTAAGCTGCTAAACTTTCCAGTAATTTGTCACACAACAATAAATAGCTAATATAATCATTATGCCATATATTTTTCTGTTTGTAGTGTTTCATTTTTCCCCTCTTGACTTTTCCTTCCCATAAACCATCAAAAACTGTCCCATGGGGCTGGGGATTTAGCTCAGCGGCACAGCGCCTGCCTGGTAAGTGCAAGGTCATGAGTTCGATTCCCAGTACCAGAAAAAAAACAAACAAACAACAAAAACTGTCCCTTTCGTGTCAGCGCCTAGGTTCTTATAATCATACACAAAATATCACACCTGTGCAAGACTGACTAGGCCACTCCATTTTTCCTTTGTTGATTTAGTGATGCTGGGGATTGCTCGTGGGCCTTGCACGTTCCAGGCTAGTGCTGAGCTACATCTCCAGCCCTCTTTACTCTTGTCTTTCCGGCTTCATTTCAGACATAGGCACCAAAGTACCCCTAACATCTGTCACTGCAGTAGTGCCCTCCTCCCTGTCCAAAGGAAATCCCAAAGGATTGTATTGTTCAAGCAAGCAATCAGCAGCAGCTGCTGAGAGCAGTGGAACCACACACCTTCTATTTATATCCACGGGAATCTGGGACCGCACTTTAGGGTCCTAAAAAACACAAGACAGTGCAGAACAATAGCACATGAGCTGCTGCTTGGAAAACCCAGATCCTCCCAGCTGCATTCCACACAGCAGGGCTGCAGAATGAAATGCTTTTTTAAAAATTTTTTTCTAGTACCATGAATTCAACCCTGTGCCTTCATGCTGAGCTACATCCTCAGCCCTTTTTCATTTTTTATTTTTAGACAGGGTCTTGCTAAGTCACCCCAGCTAGGTTTGAACTGGTGATCCTCTTGCCTCGGCCTCCCAGAATGCAGGGATTACAAGCCATGTGCCGTCATCATATCTGGCAATACTTTTGTTTTCAGCAAATATCCCAGCCTCTCTAAAGCCGAATAAGTATCATTCTTCCAAATGGACGTCATTTAAATAATTTCTTTCTCTGGGAAGAGTCTTCCCCTGATTATTTTCATGAACCACTAGGACACAGGACTTGTCCTGGAGTCAGGCTTCATATTTTAATCTGTCCTCAAAGCCCAGTCCTTAACTGGATGACTCGTCCAGAGTCCCTAACTAGACAGCCCTTCCAAGCGCTGCCTGCAGTATCCCCTTTCCTGGGCAGCTTTGCCTGAGGCTCTGTGCGGGCAGGGATTTGCCTTATTTCCTTCTGCGTCCCCAGGAACCAGGCTCAGTTCTAGGACACAGGAAGCACCATGAGTGATAGTTAAGGGAATCAATAAGTTGGTTGTGAAAGACTGTGGCCTGTTTGCAAAAATCCATGCTCAAAGAACTGAAGTCTGTCACCCTTAATGAAGGTGAACAGTCGACATTTATCAAAAGCCTACTGACCGTGAAATGCTGGGCTTTTAATGTTGCATAATTTCATTTAGTCATCACCACAATCTCATGGAAGAGATGCTATCATCCCCATTTTACAAATGAGGAAACTGAGTCTCAGAATAACAGAACAACTGGTCCCAAACCACACAGCATAGAAACCATTCAACACCAAATGCAAACCTTTACCAATTATGCAATATCATTTATTTCTTCATATTTTTGTTAACTTTTAATATTTTAGAAATTAATACATAAAAATGTACATGAGAAAAAAGTCACCCATGTTCCCAATGGGCAGAATTTTAACTAATGTTGGTGTCTTGGTGTATTGTTTTTTCTAATTTCTTCCTTTTTAAATGTTTTATATTGTCTTTGCTGAGAATATTCAGGAGACCACACTGAAGGCCCCAAAGCCATTTCTAATCAAAAACAGAGTGGGGTTTTGCATCCAGCAGCAATGTTGGGAAGGCTCTGCTATCTCCCACGATGGTGGCAGATCTGTCTGGGTGTGTTGTGGAAAAGTGAACCTTCTAGGGCAACTTCGCCTGCCAATGCTCCAGATCTGGTGGAAAGCACTCCCTTCCTCCAGTGTACTACTCAGCTTTCTGTTACTATGACAAAATACCTGAGACCATCAACATTCAGGAAGGAAAGGTTTGTTTTGGTTCAGTTTCTTTGGTTCCAGCTCATGGTCACTTGGCCCTGTGGCTCTTGCCTGTGGCAGCCCAGCCCATCATGGTGGGGACATGTACAGGAGGAGGCTTCTCACCTGATGGTAGTTGGGAAGCAAAACAGATAGAAAGGGGCTGGGGGCCCAATATCCTCCCCAACAGCAAGTCACCAGTGATCTAACATCCTTCTGCCACCTCCCAGTAGAGCCACCCTGGGGATTGAGCCTTTAACACATGAGCCTTTTGGGGTCACTCCAGATCCAAACTGTGGCACCCAGGAAATGCTGGTCTTGTGAGAAAGAACTGAAGATCTACTCTTATCCCACCCAGTAAGTCAGCTGGAATGTCAATGCCTCCTGGGAGGACTCTGGAGATGTCACCCCCGCTAGAGGGGCAGCCTTGGCTCTTTCCCTTTATTCAGTCCTGGGGTGTGTGTGTGTGTGTGTGTGTGTGTGTGTGTGTGATAACAAACACACAAACCAAGTAGACAGCCCTCTCCCTGGCCCTGCTCATGTCATACCCCCCAACCCTTAACGCTTCCTGGATCCAAGTGTGTATTTCTGTTTATTTGACCTGTTTACACCTCTCCCTTCCTGTCTGACTGCAGTTCCTTAAGGGCAGGGACTGTCACTTATACATCTTTTTCTCTGCAGTATTTAGCATATTTGACATACAGAAGGTACACATAATTAAAAACATCAGCTGTGTAAAAGTGGGGGAAAATACATAGTGTCAAACAGACCTGGGTCAAATTCTGGCTCTGCCACATACTAGCTGTGTGACTTGGGGAAAGTGACTTAATCTCTGAGTCTCAATTTGCTTATTGGCTGAGAGAAGGCCATAATATTTATCTTTGAGTTGCTGTATAGATAAAATGGGTTTGTATGTGTTGGACACCTTAGCCTAGTGTGTGACAAAGAGCCTGCAATGTTTCTGGACCACAGTGGGGGCCAAGAGACCTGGATTCTGTGCTGGGCTTTGCCACAGTCCTGGAGTGAGCTCTTACCCTCCGTGAACCACGGTGCTCTCCTCTATCAGAAGCAGAAAGCCCCACCTCCCAGAACTATTGGGTGCTTTCCATAAGAAACAACACACCTGGAAGCATGTGGCACACAGTAGGTCCTATGGCTCCCTCCTCACACTGAAAGCCACTTTCAGCTGTAGCTATGGGGGTGGATGGCAGCCAGCACTCAGGTCTGTACTGAGGCAAAACCAGACTCAGATTGGAAATAGCATGTTCATTAGGTCTCCATCACTGTTCCAAACATCTGAGATAATCTACTTACAAACAGAAAAGGCTTATTTTGGCCCACAGTTTTGGAGGTTTTGGTCCACGATCCATTGGCTCTGCTGTTTTGGACCTGTGGTGAGGCACCCATCATGGTGGGCAACAAAACCCACTCATTTCAGGGCCAGGAAGGGCAAAAGAGAAAGACGGAGGGACCTACAATCCCTATTTAGGGCACGGCCCCAGTGATCTGAGGACCTCCAGTTAGGTCCCACCTCTGAAAGCTTTAACCACTTCCTAGTGCTGCCGCAGGCTGAGAATCAAGCTTGTAATATGTGGGGAACACTGCAGATCCAACTCTAGCATACGGGTACTGGCAGAAGGTCCAGCCTAAGGGTCTCCCATCCAGGATCGCAGGGGCAGGAAGCTAAAGAACTCAGCCACCACACCAGAAGGTACAAAGGTTCCAAGGTGCCCATTTCCTTCCCCAGCAGAGAGCGTCCAAATCTTTCTAAAAGATAAATCACCCTACAGCACCAGAGACAAAGAGCAAAATGCGTTCTTCTGAATCAGGATGTTCTGTGATGTTTATAATCGGCAAAGTCACCCAGAACAGGACAGAACCCCAGGCAGCTGCTGGGAAAGCAGGCCAGACTTGGGATTGTAAGGAAAAATCATCTCTACTCAGCTCCAGGAGGGTTGGGACCTGTTTGGCAGGTGTCCCTAAGCTGGCATCTTTCCAAAGTTTTCCAGTGTCAGTCTCTTAAACACCTGTGGGAACCCTTCCGGGGCTGTGGGCGTTCTCCAGCCTTCACTAGATCTTCTGTAGGTCCTCAGGCCCGAAGGATGCAGGCAGCAGCTCCTGGACAGTTCTGACCACATAAGTACCATCTGCTTTGGTCATGTACACGGCCCAGTCAGTGCCAAACTAGAAAAGAGACAAACCTAGCGTGAGGCAGGAAGCATGGCTGAGGAGTTAGGAGAGACCTAGGTTTGAGTCTGGCTTTACCATTTACTGTCTAATGGTTCTCCCTGTGCCTTGGTTTTCTCATCTGTAAAATGGGAATGACAATGATTGTATCTGGAGCTTGCAGGAGGAATCAAAGAATGCTGATAAGCACTTAGCATGGTGCATAGCACATGGTAAACTGTCCATAAACACTCCACTGAGGACTCCCTGGGGCTTTGTGAAATCAGTACCTGACCCTCACAGCCAGATTACCTTCTGCTATGACAAATGACCATGAATACCTACTCCACTTCCTGTTTCTCCCTTACGCTTATAGAAGAGTGGTGTGCAGTGTGAAAGGAAGTAGCCTGCTTCATTACACACTAAGGAAGTAGCCTGCTTCATTGAGTGGTGTGCAGTGTGAAAGGAAGTAGCCTGCTTCATTACACACTAAGGAAGTAGCCTGCTTCATTGCACTTGCACTATTTCCTCACTGTCTTGGTTACTTTTCTCTCGTTGCTGAGACAAAATACCTGATGCCCAAAATTAAGGAAGGAAAAGTTTATTTAGCTCAGTCTGTGGAGGTTTCAGCCCATACTTAGCTGGCTCCAAGGCAGAGTGGCACATGGCAGAGGGCAACAGTTCATGGCGGAGGAAGATAGCAAAAGCAACAAGAGCACAAGGGAGGAGCAGCAGCAAGCAGCCTCTTTCCCTCCCTTACACTTTATGCAGACTACCTGCTCCAGGGCAGGTGTAGCACTCAGACCCATGAACCAATCATAAACTCTAGAAGCCCATCCCATGACTGCATGAGGCTTTTGGGGGACCTGCAGACACAAACCATAATGCTCACCTAGCCTTGGACACTAGTGCTATTACTGTACCCATTTTACTGTTGAGGAAACCAAAGCTTAGCAGGGTGAAGTCAGCAAAGACGAGCACGTCTTCTGATCTTTCTCCTGCAATATGAGGAGCACCACTGGCTTGCTGTGACCTTGGGCAAATGACAGCTATTTGGGGCTCAGTGTCTCGATCTGTGATCTGGCTTTAGAAATGGAAGAAGGTACTAAACAAGTGGGTGGGTGGGGAGTAAAATCAGTGGGGGCGACACAGAGAGCCCTAGAATTGGGGTCAACAGACTTAGGTTCTACCTGGTTAGGTAAGGTGAGTTTGGGGAATAGTTTGTGGGAAGCATCTGTGTGCACACGCTGGCACATAGTAGGTGCTCGGTGAATGGCAGCCACTCTGGCTGTGTGGGATGCCAGGGACTGCTCAGGCCTGCAGGCTATCGTTCTCCTGTGCTCTGCCTGAGTCACCAAGTTATTACCGGACACCATCCATCTTCTGGAGTTTTCAGAATTGATGTTGTGAGGGAGGGCACTTTTCTGCTTGGCAGGCTGCGCCGGGAGGTATGAGTGAAAGCTGAGCACTGCTGAGTTTCAGTGCCAGGCCTCCCATCCCCAAGCTTCATCTCTTATTATTTGCATTTTGTTTTCCCTTTGCATTTCCCTCCTCCAGCTTTTCCATCGCCTGCTCCCATTTTCCAATATCTCATCTGTTTGGAGAAAACAGCACTGAGCAGCTGGGCCAAGTTGGGGCCTTGGGAGCTGGAGACTTGGCGCTCTGTTGTGGCTTCCCGAAGTGACCTTAGACATTGCCGCTGCACTGGGCAGCTGTGTCTGCCTCTCTAAAGTGAGACGAATTCCACAGGGTGAGTCCAGTGCCTTTAGGGTGGCGTTATTTCATGTGGATCTGGGAAATGCCTCCCGCAGACTGCTTGGTTTGCAGTCCTGGCACGAAGCAGAGGGAGGCGGAGGTGTTGAAGCCTCCAGATGCCCTGAAACCCTCAGGCAGAAACACAAAGCTGAAACAATCCACTTTCCTCCAAACACAGCTCCCAAAGCGGGAACTCTCAAGGAACAGGCAGCTGCCATACAGCAAAGTCCTGCTCTGTTTGCTTATGATTTTGCCTATTGTATCTTAGCTGATGCATTAAAGAATGGACACAGCTGTGTTCCAATAAAACTTTATTTACAAAAACAAGCAGTGAGCCCACTGCTGATCTAGGGTACCTCTTGCTGCCCTCTGTCATTCAGTGCATTTTCCTACTATGTTCTCTTTACTCTCAGAAACTCTGCTGCTTGTTTATTGCTTCCTGTTTGTGGTCAGTTCTGTACCAGATGCTGATCCCTGAGGGCAGGGCCTGATTTATTTGGTCCCCAGAGCTGACTTTGTGCCTGACAGCAATGACACTCACTCAGTATTATTTCCAGTGACTTATGCAGGCTTGGGAAGGCCTAGGAGTTGGCCAGTAGCACAAACAGGACAGGGACTGTGTCTTCTCCCTGGCAGCTGGGCATCGCTCCCGCAACCAGGAATATACATTTATCACCAAGCAACATCGCATTTATGTTCCAGGAAGAAAGAGAAGCTCTTACCTCCCTCATTACTTGCCTGCAGGCCCCGCATGGTGAGATGAAATCATCTTGCAAGTCACTGGGGAAGCAGAGAATGGAACTTAGATCAATCTGTCCTAAGGCACCAGGACATTTACTAAGATTTGGGTGCTGAGTTCCTGCCCTGTTCCAGACCAGGTCAGACCCTGTCAGGCACTTCCTGTTCCACAGACACACTGTGAAGGTGACCTGGTGGCTTTCTATGCATCACAAGCTGAGGGCCTTCTGTGAACCACGAGTGAGCACTTACTGCCACCCACGTTCTGGGGTTAAGGAAAAGCTGTCTCTGGTTTTCAAGAGATGGCTCAGCCCAGCTCGTGACACAGAACACTGGATGAGTCATTATATTAAACAAAACGCAGATCACGTAGTAAGAGGGGGACAAGCCTTGCCACCAACGTGAGAGAGAATATTTTACAAAGGAGGTGGCACTTGGCTCTGTCCTTGGAAGAAAAGTAAAGTTCATCCATTACCATTTAAGTGGGCAACTACTATGCCAGGTGTTTGACATTCGTTATTTCATTTAGTTTTCAGGGCAGCCTGAGTGTCAGAATGGTTGTTTTATGGAAATAGGTTGAATGAGATGAAGTAACACAGACGCTATTCTGAAGTCCAGGGTCTCTCTGTGTTGTAGGCAAAGGAAACAAATAGTGTGTGTGCAAAGGTCCTGCGTGTGAATCAAAGAGAAAGTTTGGTTCCTTGCATCTGAGAAAGCAGGAGAAGTGACACTCACAGCCAAGAGTTGCCTGAGAGAACTCAGGCAGCCACAGCCAGCCTCCGGCTCTGACGGGGTCTGAGGCTGGTGGCTAAAGAAGGTGGGTTTCTTTCGGGAGGAGCCTCCGTTCCTCCTGCAGAGCCAGAGGTTAAGTGGCAGGCCCCACAATCTTTGTCCTTCTGGACCCAGAGCTTTGCTAGATCTCTGGACCAATATGTGATTTAAATTTGGCTTTTTGGTTGGTTTTTCATTTTGCTAACTATGTGTGACTTAGGGTCACTTTAACCCAGCCAGGACTCATTTCTTTCTCTGTAAAAGAGGGTAATGACGTCATCTACTTTCTCGGAATGCAAGAGGACAAACACAGTGAGATAAGGTGTCTGAAAGGCTCTCAGACCGTTAGAATGTTAGACACATACTGTCATAGTCTGTACTATTTTCTGGACACTTATTCCCTTACATATATGAGCTCTGTCATGATTTCAGTCTGTTATCACATACAGTTTGTTATGTACCATGCACTCTATGTATTACAGTTAATCTTGCTATATAAGAACAACGGTTGTTGTTCAACTGTTATATCATTTAATATGTGTCTGGAATATGCCAAGCATCCTGGAAAGCAATTTATATGCATCATCTCCTTTCAGTTGGGAAGTATTATGTGCCAGGCACTGTCCCTGGTGCTGGGGGAATAGCAGTGAACAAAACAGAGGAAATTCATTGGGCCCAGGAGCTTATAGCCTAGTGAGAGGCACTAGATAACCGGCCAATCCATCAACCAATGGACTGACTCACCAACCCAACAACTAACCAACCAACTGACCAACCAACCAACTAACCAACTGACCGACCAACCAACCAACTAACCAACCAGCCGTGCATTAAATAGAGACAGGCAGAGATGCTATGGAGTCGCCCAAGGGACAAAGTATAAAAGGATGCAGTTTCAGCTTTTATAGTTGGGAGCCCTGTCAAAGAGTGGTTCTGCTCCATGGAAAGGTGGGGTTCTCTCTGAGCATGCTTTCAGCTTGAGAAGAAAAGCCCATGGAAACACGAGAGGGTGACAGCTGTGGCAGCCAGAGCCTCTCGTGAGCCCTTTGGAGGGTGGAGTATGTACTTTCCTCCGTCCTACCCATGTGACCAAGGGCCTGCCCTAAGACCGCCTTGGGGAAGAAACAACAAAATCAGTGACAAGTGCCTGCCTTCAGGCCCTCACTCTCTGGAGGGGGAGAAGGACCTCACAAAAGTGCAGAACAAAGTCTGGCAGAGGTGCTCTGAGGGAAATTCAGCCTCCCTACCTTGACCTGAGGGCCCTGTATGATCTGGTCTCTGCACAGCCTGCTACTTCCTTTCTCAGTCTGCGGCTTTTATGTTCAGCTACCCAGTGTACAGCTCTTTGGACAAGGTGACCTATACTTGGGTTTTTGAGGTGAGCAACAGCTCATGCTACCAGGAAGTTGGATTTGGCCTGGGGTTCAGCCATCAAAAGTCACAAGATGGTGCACGCAAGCAGCACAGCTCTGAGAAGAACAATGGCTTATGCATACACTGAACTGAACAGTGTGCCAGGACTTTACATACATTAGCTCATTTAATTCCCTACAGCCCTATAAAGTATGAGGGATACACAGGTCTCAGCACTTACATGTTTTGGATACGGACAGGTAAAGCAACTTGCCCAGGGTCACAGAACCAGTAAGCGGCAGAACCAGGATTTGAACCCAGAATCTGTGCTCTCTGCCTTCAGTACTCTGCTTGCAGTGACTTTAAAAGTATCCTTTCATGAGACCCCCGAATAGATCAGTTGCTAGATTATGCTGTTTCATTTCACAGACATGAAGTCATGCTCAGAGATGCAAGCACATGCCTGAGGTTGATAGTGCAGCAGGATTTGAAACCCTGGAGCCCGGGCTTGGAAGCATTGGCCAACACTCCTGCTAAGTGTAAGGTTAAGAGTCAGAAGGAGCTGGCTGCACCAGGATGTGTCTTCCACGCCTCCTCCTCCTCCCTCTCCTTGCCCTTCACCCTGGCCCATCTTTCCCTGTGTATCAAAGGTTTTCTGTGTTTTGTGCTGACTCGGTCACATGCTGAGGTCATGCTTTCAGGCAGGAAACCTATTGACTCTGATGAATGCATCCGCGGCCCCAGCAGGGCAGACTCATCATTGCAGGCCAAGTCCACCCCAGCTCCTCGGACACCTGAGGCCTCTCCTGGGTACAGTCTCCACCCTTCACGATCTCAGAGGGGGTTTCTGGCTGTGCAGCCCTGTGCAGTGTTGACAAGGCAGTTGGCATTTCCTGCTTATCCTCTGAATCCCTGCTCTCAATTCAACAAGCCGTTAATGCAGTAATGACTGAGTTTCTGGCTCCGGGATGTGGGTGCAGGCTGAAAATCCACAGCAGAGCAGTTGGATGTGAGAAAAACACAGGCTTTGTGTCATTAAGGACATTTGTTAATCACTGTTAGCAATACTTGGTCGTGTTTAAAAGTAGATAATGACCAAGAGAAAAAGCCTGTGATCTGGAAATTTCTAACAAAGCCAGGTTACTGCGCCATTATCCTTTTGTTGACTTTAGTCTCTTCCCAGAATGTCATTATTTCCTTGGATCCGCTTTGAAATTGAGTTATTCCTTCCCTCTTCTCATAAAGTGCAGCTCCCATCCTGATCTCTGCTCATCTGCACGAAATGTTCCCAGCACAGCTTCATTTATTCTCCGAAGCTGAAGGGAAGCCAGGACAGAGACGGGCACAGGACGGCGCTTGGGAGCTGGGGGCTTTTGCCCTTGGCACACCCTTGGCACTTTCTCTCAGAAATAACCCTTAAATAAGCTGGAACACCTCAGGGACAGACTGCTGCCAAGTTCAGGGTCTTAGAAAAGCCTCTTGGACTTGTGTCTGTTGCGTGGCCCCCTCTGGCTTTGCTCTAGGCCCCTGCATTTCTGCTTTCAGCATTTGTGCAGGAAGGGGCTGTAACTCCGGACCAGTAAAGCAGGAATTCATTCACAGTATGTGATGCGTGCAGCCAAATATCACAAAGCCCAACACCTGGTATCCATATAGGCCCTTTGAAGCTGGGTTAAGTATTTTTGAGGTCACTTTCCCTCAAACTATTAACTCAGAACAATGCCTCATAGATAATTCATAGGTGCACACAAAAGGAACTCACCACTGAAAAATTAAATTAGCCTGTGTGGTGGTGCATGCCTGTTTTCCCAGTGCTCTGGGAGGCTGAAGCAGGAGGACAGCTAGTTCAAACTCAGCCTGGGCAACTTAGTGACATAGCAAGACTTTGTCTCAAAATTAAAAAGTAAAAAAAGGGCTGGGAATGTAGCTCAATACAAAGGCCCTGGGTTCAATCCCCAGTACTGCAAACCAATCCATCAATTGATTGATTAATCAATCAATCAATCAAATTGATGGGTTGATGGGGGTCCAAGTCAGGAAAAGAATGCATTCATGCATTTCAATCTGAAGTCACAGAGTATGGAACCAGTGCCATCAAGAATTCCATATGCTCCTTTTGGGGGAAGCCAATGGAATCTAGGATATTTATATCTGGGGCACAAAGAGAATTGGCTGGGGTTTTTGTTCACCCAGAAGCAGGGCAGGAGTCTGATTAGTCTGATCCATAATTGGCGATTACATGGGTTGTCTTTATATCCTGGTTCTGGCACCTAGAAATAGGCATTGGCTTATGAGGGAGCTAGCAAGGCTGAGTAACTCTTTCTGGACCCACCTCAAGGAAAGTGGGGAAGAGAATGTCTGGCATCCTGGCACAGCATGGCACAGTGGAAGGGGCCATGGGTGAGACTAGGATCTGGGTTTGGTCCTGGCTTTGCTCTTAGGAAAGCTGTGTTCAACCTCTCTAGGTCTCAGCTTTCTCAACTATAAAATGGGAGTACAGGCAGAGGAGTGTACTGTGTGACTTTCAGTTCCCTCCAGCTACGGGTTTCCTGGCTGCCTTTCTGCTGTGTCTCCAGGGCTGTCTGTTGTACTCTGCGTTGCAGCAGGAACATACTGTACTTGTCCTTGTGTTAGAGTAACCTTCCCTGTTTACCTGCTCCATAAGCTCGGAGTCGAATGAGGACAGAGTCCATTTCCTGTTGCTCTCTTTATCCTCAGCACTTAGCCCAGGGTCCTATATCATGGACCCTCAAGTTATGACCGGCCTGACATACAAACAACTTGGGTTATGACTCAAATTTTCGTTTTAACTTATGACCAGAATCTTGAGTTATGACTCAAATGCTGGCTGCTTGTGCTTCCACATGGTCTCAGCTACGTATTTAACCCTTAAAGAGCTCTGGAAGGAACATTACAACATCCTTTCCTGCATGGGGTTAACTGAGAAATCCCGGGCTGATGTCTCCCTAGGACACCGAGATCTGCTTGTATGCAGGAGAGAGTTTGAAGGCTGTGTAGAGAAGCCCAAGCCTCCAATTGAGTCCATCCTGGCACAACTTGAGTTACAACCAGCCCTTCGCAAGGCACTGAGTTCGTAAGTCAAGGGTCCACTGACGTGTCTCTCGCATACAGAAGTACACAGTAGACATGCATCTGCTGAATGGATGGATGGTGCATGGGGGATGTTGGTTGAAGCATTATATATCATTGCTATGACTTGCTTGTCCCACTCACCTGGAGATAGCAATGGCCCTGAAGTCCTTGTGGCCTTCGGAGATGGCCTTCTGGATTGCAGTCCGTTCAGCACAGATGCCCAGTGCGTAGCAGGCATTTTCTACATTGCACCCTGGGGAGAGAGGACAGGCTCGTGGTCTGGCCACAAGAGCCACTTCCTGCTGCGTACGTGTAAGAGACTTACCTCCCATCTAGGACAGGGAAGGACCTGAAGTGTTAGGAGACTCAGGCCATTGTTCAGCGGCCCTTCCCGAGGGTGCTCACTGTCTGCATTTCCCCAACATCTCCATCATGGCTGGCTGGCTCCCAGGCAGAAGCAGCCTGGTGGAAGGGCTGCCATAGTGGAGGAAAGCCGCCAATGAGGTGTGTTCCAAAGTGTCCAGGAAGCTTCTGAGTCACAGATTGCTCACCTATTATTTCTTTTCTTTTTGTCTTCCATAGACTGGAAGGTGAAGGTAGAAGGAGTGGGACCGGTTTGGCCATGTGGTTTATGTCATAGGAATGGACACATGACAAAAGGGAAGGAACTTGGGAACTTGATAAACTCATAGAACAGAGTTGTTTATTTGACCTGGGTCAACTACTTACTTTGAATTGTGATGTAAGAGAAAAACAGAATTCTACCATTCTTGAACGATTATACTTTGGAATCTTTTTATTATGCCAGTATAACCTATACCTGCTGGGAGCTCTCTGTCCTTCTTTTTCCTGATATGAGATCTTACTGCTGTTTTGCTTTATTGTTCTATCTTCTATATTGTGGTGGTGGGTACAAAGTGGGGGGCACATAATTATATAGTTTCTGGCCCCTTAACCAGCAGAGTCACATCTGGACCCAAGGAAGAGGGCAATGAAGCACTGTGAGATCCTGCTTCTGAGATGGAGGTGGTGACTGGGTGGAACTCTAGGTTGCCTCCTTTTTATGGTTTAGATCTAAATTATGTTCCCCTAAAGTCATGTATTTGGAGGTGAGGATTGGTTGGAAGAGGTGAGTCACGGGGTGCATGATCTAGAAGGGTGTGTTATTGTTCTAGGCTCTTCCCCTCTTTACTTCTGCTTCCTGGCTGTCATAGGTAAGCAGCTTTTCTCTGTCATATCCTTGCACCATGCCATTTCTACCTCAGAGCCAGCTGACTATAGACTAAAACCCCAATACCATGAGCCACATTAGACCTCTCCCACTTTAAATTGTGGGTATCAAGTATCTTGTCCCAGTGATGGAAAAGCTGACTAACACAGCTTTTGGTACCAAAAATGGGGTTGTCCCCATGACTGTACCTGACCATGTAGTTTAGAGGCCTCTGGAACTGGTTTCTGGGAGGAGTTTGGAAAAGTCCAGAGATGCTATCTAGAGAAGACTTAGAATAAATACTATAAATAGAAATTGAGAAGAGACTCTGGTCAGAGCTCAGAAGGTCAGAATACTGATAGGAATGTGGACAGTATAGGCCAGCCTCAGGAGGTTTCAGTTAGGAATGAGAACAGGAATTTAGTTAAGAATTGGAAACTGGATCGGTGGTCATTCATGTTACAGTCTACCAAGAATCTGTCTACATTTTTCCATGTTCTGAGACTTTGTGTGAGGCTGAATTTAAAAGTGGTGGACTCACTGATCTGGTGGAAGAAATTTCAAGGTGGCCCAATGTTCAGGTTGTGGCATGGGTCTGATGGCTACTTTGAGCCACATTTATAGTGAGAATAAGAAGAAATAGTAAAGCTGAAAGATGTGAAAAGTTTGGGCTATGGAAAGCTTGGGTGAAAAGATTAACATTAAAAACAAGTAAAGTACTTTACATCAGAACAGTAGGAAACATGGCTAAAATGCATCTCAGGAATTGGCCAGACCCTTCTCTTTGCAGGCTTAAGAGTGTAAGTGGGTAAACTCCTCTGAAAGACTTTTCTTTGAAAACACAGGCCCAGGGCACCCTGCTCATTCAAGGCCACCTAGGGTCCTCAAGTTCAGCCATCAAAATATTCAGAGGTCACTGCAGCCATGATTCAAAGGGGCCTGGAGCCAGCAGCAGGTCTTAGCATCATACACATGGTATATTTTTCAGGCATGCAAAATTCAAGAGTTGTGGGGTCATAGACGTTCACATCCAGATTTCAGAAGAAGGTCTGAGAGGCTGGACAAAAATTGTGACAGGGACATAGTCTCTTCCAGGAGATCCTGAGAGGGAAATGCTTGATGCTACAATAGAGAATCCAGGAAGGTGGAGCTGCAAGGGATGTGGAATGTCTGTTGAGGAAAGCTGTAGGCAGTGAGTGGATCCAGCCCAAGAGACAGGCCATGTGGGATGCAACCTGCAATGCTGTAGGGGTGGGATGACCCAGTCCCCACATATCTCACCACAATCTGCCTTAGGTGCTGGACAAGGAGCTGCAAGATTTAATGTTTTCCCTGCTGGGTTTTGGTTTTGCTATGGTCTGATCCTTTTCTATCTCCTTATTCCTATATTTTGGAAACTTGGAATATTTGCTCCATACCATTGTCTGTTGGAAGTATTTAATTTTCTTTTTGATTTTCACAGGGACTCACAGCTAAGGGTTTGCCTTGAGTCCCAGAGGATACTTTGGACTTAAACTTTTCAATTGCTGGAACTGTTAAGACTTTGATAACTCTTAAAATAGATTAAATGCATTTTGCACAGTGAGATGGACAGAAGCCTTCTGTGGGCCAAGTGTAGAATATTATGGTTTGCATCTAAAATCCTCCAAAAGTCATGAGCTTGAAGGTGGGACCTGACTAGAAAAACCAGGTCATTTGGGGCACAATCTAGAAGGGAATATTCTTGTTCTGGGCTCCTTTCCTCTCTGTATCTACTTCCTGGCTGCGACAAGGTGGGCAGCTTTCCTCTACTGTACCCTCCCATTATGCCATTTCTGTCTTGGAGCCAGCTGACCATGGGCTCAGCTCTCTGAAACCATGAGCCAAATAAACCTGTTCTCCTTTAAGTGATAGAAAGTCTGACTAATATACTCCCTTAGGAAAGTGGTAAGTGGGTCTCTGTGGGGAAAAAAGACATACACAAATACTGGCCCAAGGGGCAAAGAATGTTAATTGTTCCAGAATCCACTCTCCTAATAGGTTCCACTTGGCACATGGCCACCCAGCTGGAAACTACCTTTCCCAGCTTCCCTTGAAGCTTCCTGTAGCTCTGAAGTTTTAGCCAACAGAGTGTAAGGAAAAGTGATAGGCATGATAAGCAACTTCTAGTGACATTTTTAGACTACTGCTTGCTTAACACTTCATCTTTCCCTTTCCCAGGGTCTGGGACAGGGATGTGAAGATATGGTAGTTTAAACTTACAGAGAAAGACACCAGTCAAGGGCTTGTGGGACAGCTAGACAGGGATTCTAATCTCCAGTACAACCTTGCAGAGCACGGCAGTGCAGCTCATGTGCTCCAATTGCAGCCCACCTCTAATCTGCTAGAGAAGACAGAAACAGGCAGTCATCCTGTCTCATCACTGGATTTCTTCCATTTTCTCAGTCTGTTCCTCACCTACTACATGCCCCTTTTTAAATTCTCAGTCTTCACTGGAATTAGGCAATATTTTCCTCCTCCTGTACTTATCGAATTTCAAAGGTCATTATCTGGTCATTATTGCCTTATGTATTTTTCTATCCTTCGTTATTTGCACTGGCACATTAAGAGTGGCTAAATGTATCATTTAGTTCACAGTTCTCAGGACCTCAGGCACTCCTGTCTTGGACTGATGGGTGTTGCTCTGTCAAAGCCCACTCTCTGGCTGGGTGCTATAGCACTAAGTCCCCTGCTGGAGTGAAGGCTTGTGTGTTCATAGCTGGGATGACATGGCTCTGTGGTGTTAGGTGGGGACAGGTTTGGAATTCTACTTTGGGGAGAAGGATGGTTGTTGTTACGGTTTGTGTTTGGATGTCCCTCCAAAGCCTCATGTAGTCATGGTGTGGGCTTTTAGAATTTTTGATTGATCCATGATCCAATGCTGGAATTATGGGTGTGAGAGCTACACCTGCCCTGGGCTGGGTAGCCTGCATACAATATAAGGCGGGGGGAAAGAGGCTGCTTGCTGCCGCTCCTCCCTTTTGCTCTTGTTGCTTTTGCTGTTTTCTGCTGCCATGAACTGTTGCCCTCTGCCATGTGCCACCCTGCCTTGGAGCCAGCTGAGTATGGACTGAAACCTCCACAAACTGTGAGCTAAATAAACTTTTCCTTCTTTAATTTTGGGCATCAGGTATCTTGTCTCAGCAGTGACAGGAAAAATAACTAAGACAGCTGTATATACTGGGAGCCACAGGTAGACTCCACTACTACTCTATTGATTATTCTGCCAATTTAGCACCTCCCCTCCACTTTGGTGTAACTCATCTCATTTCCCAGCACATAATTCAGTAAAGGTTGGGTGCATTCACTGTGACATGGCCATAGACCCCAGCACATAACTGAAATGGAAACTGTCACCTTTTCTTCCATAGACTTGCTATTGGCTTAAGGCCACCTGACCAATCAGAGTTCGTTCCTGTGTAGAACTTTAGTTCTTTTCTGAGAGCAAGTGTGGACCACCATGTTCCATTCATTTTGAAGGAGACAAGTACAAAACAATGAAATGCAAGACAATGACTGAGAAATGAGATGAGAGATGGTGACAAAAAAGTCTAGTCAGAGGCACTCAGCCCCAAGGTCTGGCTGACTCCAACACCTCCCACAGTATAGTTGAATGAGCCCTGTGTAATCCTCCTTTTATCTACCATAATTCATGTGTATTTCTGCCATACGTCGTCACATAGAAATCAGCTAATCCAGTGGGAATATAGGACAGAGAGCAATCGGGAAGGTACTACCTTGCAAGCAGTGGTTAACATTTATTGAAAGGCTTTGTGTGAGTTACTGATGTAGTCAGAGAACACACACAGGACAAATAACAAATTGCTGAACCCTTAACCCTATTCATTAAAAATACAATTGCATTTTTTTTTTTGAGACAGGGTCTCTCTATGTAGTTCAGACTAGCTTTGAATTCACTGTGTAGCCCAAGCTAACCTCAAACTCCCAGCGATCCTCCTGCCTCAGCCTCCCGTGTGCTGGCATTACAGGCATGTGCCACCATACCCAGCTACAATTGGGTTTTC